GTTCTAATTTTTGAATTTTCTTGATATGCAATGACATTTTTTTCGTCTTTTTTCTTCTTTTTTTTTTTTTAAAAAAATCACATTTTATATGGTTTAGCTGAGATACTGTGCTCGCTTGAAAGGCCAGCGAGTGGATACGGATCGGAGATATGCAGCTTAGGATCGATTAGCCCAGCATAGCTGTGCCTCAGCATATGTGAAGCAGTTTAGTAAAGATCATTTAACAATGGAACTTTTCCATGGGCCAATGCAGTAGGAGGAGGGAGGAGAGGGGCGAGGGCGAAGGGATTCTTCACGGTGATAATTGCCTCTATTCCTAGTTTTTGCATAGTTCCAGGATGGGAGGGTTTCCCCTCCTCACCCCGCCTCCCCTCTCCAAGAATCCCACTCCCCTCTCCCTCCCCACCTCCCCGTCTTCGCTGCCGTAGGAGTCCGACTTGGATCCGCCTATGAACCTTCGACATAGATTGATTCGGCTTGGATGATCTTGGTTTTGATAAAACATCTGTAGTTTATGGTGACAGAAATATTTAGCTTGTTACTTTTAGTTTTTTTTTTTTTTCACCGCTTCCTCTATATGCATTTGCTATTCAATATTAGGAGCAACAGTTTTTATAATTTAAAACTGAAAATTGGTGATTAATTCAGTGGGTTTTTTTTTTGTTGACGACACTGCACAAAAAAGGTCTATGGATTTAGCTAGGCGATCGTGTAAATAGTTAAAAATTACTGAATTGCGAAGTAAATAATTTTGTGGAGGAAAAGCGGAGAGGGAGAGGGAGGGGGGAATGTGTTGCGCTGCCTGCTTTACTCGTATCGACAGACATCACGATTGGTACCCGGGAAGAGTAATACGAAACAGGGCTGTGCGGCAACCTTCGAAAATGCGAAATTCTTATTTTTCCACACCAACGAACGTATAAATAGTTAAACTGATTGTAGCATGATTTTAGCCTACAAGTAATATTAAGAACTTTAATAGGGTAGGCATAGAGCGAACTATGTATTGATAGATGTAGAAATATAGCTGGTGTGGGAGAAATAAGTACGAAAAAGTTAAGACGTTTCGGTCCACTAAATCATATACGTCCTCCAACCCGTTTACCCTATATATATATATATATATATATATGTATATATATATATATACATATATA